CACAAAATCTAATAGCCCCGGGCCCACAGGAGAGTTAATCCAGCCCTGATATCAGGTAATGAGGGCTTTCCACTCTTTGTAGAGCTTTGTCCTAACTGGTGCCTCGGATGAATCACGGTAGCAATTCCTGCCTCAGCTCAGGTCGCCGTAGGATTTGTGCTAAATCAATAACCTAAATCTCTACTTGCAAGGCTTCATAACTTTATTAGCTTGGTAGCTTCTCTAATGAGAGGGTGATCTATGCATTTAGTCATAACTTCCGGGCTCTAGAGGGGACAAAGTGCAGCAGCAGGGGATGTTCATTTCACTCTTAGAATGGAAGAGTTGTATGTGAATTCTAAAGGTCTGTGACACTGAATGCATTCTGTAAGTTACCCACTATTATGTATTACACTCCACCTTCGTGTTCGATGTTCTGGCCGCCGGGGAATTTGTTCTTTAATATCTAGCAATGATATTGAGACAATTGTCTGAATTAGAAGTCTGCTAGTCTAAACACCTGATCCCGTACAGAGCTTCCACAAAAGGCAGTGGGAGTTGAGAGCACTCAGCACCCCACAGGATCAGGTCCTGAGGCCAGTAAGTGCAAAGCTTTGTAAAGTGTATTGATTAAAACAGCTTGGCTCTCATTACTTGCATTATTATTTTTCTCCTTTTCTCAAGTGTGCGTGTAAGTAAAAGTAAGAGCTTCAGGACAATTTTAGAAAGGTCACTGGGAACAGGACTGAGAACAGCAACTCATATAGGCACTGAACAGCCATCATCATTGTAAAAACTTAAAGGCCCCTGTTCAGGAAACATCCCTATTCAGAAAATCTCTTAAGTCCAGGCTTAACTTTTAATAAGTGCTTTTCTGAATCAGGGCCATAAAGTGATGTAAATGAAAGGGGAATCTGGCTCCCTGGAGTTATACCAGGGCATATGTGATAATCAGGTATGCACCAGTCTCTTGAGCCTTTCAAAAACCTTTTATAAAGTTAAATGCCCGTATGATTTTTCACTCTACCTTTTTCAATCTGGAGATGCAAGTGAGCTTGTGGTATCCATTCTGCAGGAAAATACAATGTGATGCAAAGCCCTTCACAGTGATTTCGGCTCCTATCCTGCCAGGTGCTGAGCATCCTCAACTTCTTGTGAAGCCAAGGAGTCTTGTGGGGAGATTCAAGTCTAAAATGGATTTCAGTAGGAGTTGGAGGCAGTCAGCGCCACACAGGATTGGACCCTTTACCTGTGCACTAATACATATTAGGCAGCTAGTCTCAATCACCTGTAACTCTTCTGCTAAGCGGACGACTGTTTAGAGCCATGCACTCACCAGCAGCAGTAAAGCCAAAACACTGAAGTTGTGGAATGGTGAGAGCAAGACGATTTATTGTAGAGTGGAGAAAAGGTTCATTTTCATCATCTCAACTATTCCCCTACAGAGTTCAATGCAATAAAAAGAGGGACAAGTGTACAAAACGAACCTGACAAGAAGGCTCTAGATGACGTACATTCAAAGCATTTGCAAATGATGCTACTATACAGATGCAGGATACAAATTAAATCAATTTCTTCCAAAGTGGACTGAACCAATTCTGTATCCACATTCACTATTTTGTGTTTTGTTTCAGAAACATCCATAATCCTCCCTTTCACTACAGATGCCTTATTCATTATTTATATAACTCCACTGGCCTTTTCTCATCACTGGGAAAAGGATTCCAGCTATTATTGTCTAACAATTTATTTAAAAGCAGATTTTATTTTTACTTCCAATTTGATGCAGGTGGCAATTGATCCTGCTCCAGTGAAGTCAATGGGAGGTTCACCATGACTGAAATGAAAGCAGGATCAGGTCCACGGTTGTTCAATCCCGCATGCTAATTTATTCCTGGGATAGGGTGACCAGACAGCAAATGTGAAAAATCAGGACAGGAGGTGGGGGGTAATAAGAGCCTATATAAGAAAAAGACCCAAAAATCGGGACTGTCCCTATAAAATCAGGACATCTGGTCACCCTATCCTGGGAACACATAGACTCTGCCAGTTGTAAAAATAGTTCCTTTTGGATCCATCTTGAAATTTGCTCTTCTTAAGGGGCAAAAGGTTTCTTCCTCATCCAGAGCATCCTTGTGGATACAGACATAAAAACATGTACATGACAAGGCATCAGCACTACAGAGTTCCTGGAGTGGTTTAGGGCTTGACCCTGTTCCATTGAAATCAATGGGAGCTTCACCGCCAATTTCAGTGGGAGCAAGTTCATGCCCTTACAGAGCAAGAGAAATATTCTTTAAAAAGCCAAGCCAGCCTAGATTGTTGTAACAAAATCTACGATTGAGAGAACATTTAGCACCCTGCTTTGTTTTGGCATGGCCAACGTAAGTATACAGTGCAGCCATGTCACTCACTTTGTACTCAGGCAATAACCCCCTTGCTGTCAATGGGAGTCTTGCCTGAGTAATGTGACGACAGGATTTTGCTCATGTTATTAACAGCATGTTAGTAAGCCAAAATAAGAATCAAGGCTTACAGATAGATTCTCTCTATAATGTTCATGTAGTAAGGGAAAAAAAAATCTCCTGGACTAAATTTTGCTCTTGGTAACACTGGTGTAAATCCAGAGTAACTCCACTGAAGTTAGAAGGGTTACTTCAGATTTGCACCAGAATAACTATAAGCAGAACTGAGCCCCATGTTAGGTAATGATATAACACGTTTATTTGTTAATGCGTAATGACATCTAATGCTTAATAAAACAAAACAGTACCTCTTTCGTACTCCATATAAATTATATGGATCCCATGTATTGGTCTCATTGCCTTAAAATAAAAGCTACAGCTGGAATGAAATGCATATGTATTTAAAGTTAACATTAAGATGTGCTCAATTTAAAGAGTCCACCATTTAGACAAAGGTTGCAATTGTGACTTAAGAAAAAATCTGGAGGCAAACCCTGAATTTGTTTGCCATGAAAACATAAAGGAACATTTTTTATTTTATGTGAAGAAAAAAATACATATAGGTGGGGAGAGGGGGAAGAGCCACATTTTCACAAATAATAAATATCTAGTCTGATTCGAAATCAAAGTGCGCTGAAGATTTTTCTATTTAAACAAAAACAACCCATAGGATAAAGTCATAAATATTCACAAGACTGTCAGTGGTCAGCATAATAAAATAAATATGAATGCAATGATTTTTTTTTAGCAGCAAAGGTCATTAATCTACTGGCCAATGTGATAGCTTCACAAAAGTCCATTTTATTTTTTCCAGTCAAGAAATAAACTATTCAAGGGCGGGGGGTCTCTAAAAAGGTGCCACACCTGTATTCTTAATGGGTATGGTGCCTCTCCTGCCCCCTGCCGTGCCCCCACCCCACCCCACCCCCTGTTTCTGAATGTAGATATAGCAGGATATGTTTTCCCCAAGCATTCTGAATCCTCATGTACAGAATTACTTTAATATGCATATAGTCAAGTTCTGACCTTCTCCTCTTGCTGAAGGGCCTTTGGGTTGGCTTTAACCCTTAAAACATAGGGGCATAGGACTGGAAGGGCCCTCCTGGGTCATTGAGTCCAGTCCCCTGCTATCGCAGGAACACTAATGAAATCTACGTTGTTGTTTTTTCACACCTTCATGATTAGCCATTTTCTAGGTCAAGGAGAAACCACTGTGGGTGCTGTGACAGGAGGGGCAGTCTTTGGTTCCCTTGTGCTCACATCAGATCTTCTGGACAGAGCAAGACCCCGCATGTCCCACATCCTTCTAGCCATGGATGCCTTTTCTCCTGCCTGGGAGACTTGTCAACAGGTGCTGCGGAGTCCCACTCCCTGCTTCACACAAGGGAACAGCAAGGGCAGAGGAGAGATGGAATTCTAGTGGTGACAACCCTCATCCCTGAGGTTCAGACTGAGACTGGATGGCAGGGAAGGTCTACCTGCCTGTTGGGCAGCCTCCCAAGGAAAACCGTGGGAGCCCCATTGCTGGGGCATTTCAACTAGATATGGTTTTGTGAGGGGAAATTCCTCCTTGGCTAGACACCGAGCTAGACACTACGTATAACAGGGCTTTCCCCAGCTCCCATTTTATTTAGTGTTGCATGAAACAATGGAAACACCATGCCGTGGTTTATGGCAAATGGACATTTAAACATGATGCAGATATCGTTGTGGGGAGACACGACAGGGCAACTATCGTCCACCATCCTCCGTCCTTACACGGGGGCGTACAGCCAGGAAAACAGAGGAAAGGCCACAGTTCCACTGTGTGGAATGGGGAGCAGGTCATACCCGAGGACTGCACTCTCTACGGCAGCACAGGAAGGTTGGGAATGGGGCAGGCCAGTGGGCATGGCCAGGGGGCCAGCCAGGGAGAGCACAGGGGAAGGTGCTTGTGCTTGTGCTCTGCAACCCGGGATTCTGTTCTTCCACCCAATGGAGCTCCTCTGTGCAAAGCCTATTTACTCAGGCTTTGCGCGGAGGACCAGCATTAGGCGCAATAGACACTGGAGTCTGTTACCATGCATATAAACATGGATCAGCAGGGAACATGTGATGATTGCTGTGACCGCCCTCACAGTTTAACCTCATGGAGTATAGGAGTGCTATATAAAAGACAGGGCAGTTGGGCAGTGCTCGCTGGAGGTGGCCGATGATACAGATTACTCAAAGTCTGAAGAACAGCTTTTACTTTTGAGCATGCAAGTGATACAAGCCTTTCTGTGGTGGACTGAGAAGATGAACAGAAACTGTTGTTTAAAGCTGAAAAAGGCTGGTGGAACGCAGGAAACTAGGGAGCAGGGACCGGTGAAGGATGGCGAAAAACAAGGCTGTCTACAACATAGAATATCAGGGTTGGAAGGGACCTCAGGAGGTCATCTAGTCCAACCCCCTGCTCAAAGCAGGACCAATCCCCAGACAGATTTTTGTCCCAGATCCCTAAATGGCCCCCTCAAGGATTGAACTCACAACCCTTGGTTTAGCAGGCCAATGCTCAAACCTCTGAGCTATCCCTCCCCCCATGATACGCACTGGGCCAAATTCATCCCCGGTGTGGCCCCACTGAAGTCAATGGGATTACACCGAGGCAGACGTTGACTCGCTGTCTCCAGGAGGAGGGGACAAGCTACAAAGCACCTTTTCACTTCTAGTACCCTCCCACCTGAGAAACAAAGGAGCTACATCAGCATAAAACCGAAACACTAAAGCAGGCCTGGAAAGGAGATATCCACAGCACCTGCCTGGCTCTGATCCTACTTAAAAAAAAAAGATCAGGATCATTAAATTCACCACAACTGCGTGAATGATCAGAGGAGAGCACAGCAGCCCCGCTCAGAGATCACCAGGGGACCAGCCTGGCAGCTCAGCCCGAATATCACACAGGGGAGAACACAGCAGCCCAGCCCGGAGATTGCATGAGGGACAGCACAGCAGCCTAGCCTGGAGATAATACATGGGAGAACATGACACCCCAACCTGGAGATTACACTCACGCTCATTATCCCTTCCCTAAAACAAAAGACTGTAAAACGCTGATGTTCAGAGAGAAGCAAGATAAAGGAAAGCCCAGTCTGAGACTTAGAGTAAAGGGAAGAAAGGAAATATGCCCAACACGGGCAGCTCTCCTCCAAGGGTGAATTTCACTTTGCACATATAATGCCTGTCAGGCTTAGTGCAGCTGAATGGAGTGGAGGTTGAGGCAGTTGAAATCCAATAATCCCCAATTTCCAGGGAATTTTACTACATCACAGACCCACCCCCTCTACAGTTACTACAGGCTGGAGAACAGCATTTGACCCCCCTCAGCACCAATTTGATAGGGTGTTTGGACCCACGATTCCTCCCCAGCCCATCCTCATTGCACCATCCATGCTGTCCTGTAGAGGGCCAAGGCTCAGTACAGAGCCTCCATCAGATTATATTCGCTTCTGTTGCTCTCTGGGCCCTGCACAGGCCCCGCTCCCATAGGTGAATTTCACCCACGCTGCATAAAGATGCCTAGTGGCTCCAGTGTGGTAAAAATCCGTTGCCAAGAGCAGACCAGAATCTATCCTCCTTGACAGAAGAGACTATCTGCTGATGTGGCAGATCAGCTACTCTCCTATTGCAGATGTTAGGTTGAAATCCTCACCAGCCACTTGAAGTCCAAACACTGGGGGGTGGCCTACATGAGGGTGAGGGAGATAGGATCCTCCTTAGGGTATGTGCACAGCCTCTGTGCCATACCGACAGGAATGCAGGAGGCACCTGCTGTAAGTTGTATTTGAGGCTATAGCCTCTTACACTTCTGCTAGCAGGGATGTGTGGCCAGCAATGCCATTCACACGTCCGCTGGCTCTGTTCCCTCCTCTTCTCTAGCCTGCCCATAAAGTCCCCCTGCTGCGGAGTGATGCTGTGGAGCACAGCTCCAAGACACACCAAAAGGGGTGTTGTGTCTCCACATACCCTGCCTGCGTGGCAGAACCGTGGTGGTCCCAGTGCTTCTTGGGCCTTGCACATTCATGCAATAGGGCATGGGGGAGGACAGGGCTCCCCCAAAATGCAATGAAGAGCTTTAGATAACAAGCAAACAAACATTAAAACCACTTCACATCCTGCAGAGCATATTCCTGCCAACAGCGATATAAAAAAACCCTAACCATACCATTAAGTTTGCAGGTGTTACATGTATAGCTAGAGAGCATACTCCTATCAAATGGAGCACAAAGCAGGGCGTGTGGCAAACAGCAGGCGAGACAAGCTGCTCTATCTGCAAACTACTACCAAGGGATAGCGTGTCATTGTACATAGCCAAGATTCTCCATCTCATTCCTATACCGCTGTTCAGACACCTTGCTTTTGTGCTGTTTGCTTTCTAAATGTTGTCGGAACTCCATCTCTTCGCTAGCCCCGGCATTGCACATGGAACAGTAGTACTGGCCACTTGGGGTGACACACATGGCGAGATCACGAGGAATTCGCTGGCGGGAGCGTGGATTGAAGTAGGGACCTGCAGAGAAAACAAAGGCGTCCATTTATCTGTAAGCAAGAGGAGCCCTGTGTTTCGAGCCTCACTTCACAATCGCTAAGGTCTATGAGTAAAATGGTCAAAAGCACCTAAGTGACTTGGGAGCCTAAATCCTACTTTCAAAAGTGACTTAAGCACTTAGGCCTAGATTTACAAAAGTATTTAGGCACCTACAGATACAGACAGGCACCTAGTAGAATTTTCAAAGGCACCTAACCGGCTTTGATGCTTAACTCTCACTGACGTCAGTGGGACTTAGGTCAATTTAATTTTGTAGTGCAGACTTGCCCTAAGTTACGTCGATGTACAGGCACCGCAGTAATTGAATCGCTTTTGCATGTCCACACTATGCTCCTTGTGTCGGCGATGCGCGTCCTCACCAGAAGTGCTTGCACTGATTTAACTGCCAATGCGGGGCACTGATTTAACTGCCAATGC